TGGACATGAAAAATCAAACACTAATACAATTGTACTGGAGGACCTCAGTACTCCAGTGTTACAAAAAGACAGATCAACTGCAAAAAAAAAAAAAAAAAAAAATCAACAATGAAACATTACAACTGAGCCATACTTTTGAACAAATGAACTTAGTAGATGTCTAGAGAGTGTTCTACCCTACAACATCAAAATTCACATTCTCAGCTGTATACAGGATGGTCTCCAAAATAGAATATGTACAAGTTCATAAAACATGCTTAATGGAAATATAAAATTGAAATTATCCCATGGATATTATCAGACCATAGTACAATGAAATTGGAAATCAATGGCATAAGAAACCAGAAGAACTTCATTAAAACTTGGAAATTAAATAGCAACCTCCTGAACAACCATTGAGTCCCAGATGAAATTAAAGAAGAAGTTAGACAGTTTTTACAATTAAATGATAGTACCAATACAATATATGGGAAATTCTGAGACACAATGAAAGCAGTCTTAAGAGGTAAATTTATACTAGTGAATACCCATATCAGGAAAACACAAGTGCAAATTAACAGCTTAATGGTGAACCTCAGGCTTCTAGAAAAAGAGCAGACTAAGCCAATAGCTTATATGAGGAAGAAAATTACAAAGATCAGAGCGGAAATTAGCACATTGGAGACTAAGAAAACAATACAAAAGAATCAGTAATCAAAGAGTTGGTTATTTGAAAGATTAAATAAAATCGACAAACCCTTATCCAGCATTATGATGAAAAGGAAAGGGCTAGCAAGATAGCTCACCTCAGTGGACTAAGCATCTGCTTTGCAAGTGCAGGGACCAAGGTTCACCGCTCCTCACTCCCCCAGGTGCTGAGCTAGGCAACTGAGTCCAGGCATAGAGAAGCTGAAAACAGGAGGATCACTGTGAGTCTGAGCTATGTAGTGAGACCCTGTACCAAATACATACAAAAATGAAGAAAAAGAAGAAGCTCAAGTCCAGGCAGTTAGGAGGGAGAAGGGTAAAATCACAATAGACCCTGCAGAAATCTAAAAGATCCTCAATACCTACTTTGAGAATTTGTGTTCTCATAAAATTGGAAATGTAGAAATGAACAGATTCCTAAATACACATGAATTACCAAACCTAAATCAAGATATAAAAATTCTAAATAAGGAATGGCCAGACTTCAGTGTACTAAAGCGCCTGCTTACGTACAGCATAGTGGCCAGGGTTCAACCTCCAGTGTGCTGTGCTGGCCCTACTCCCAGGGCATGTTGAGAGGCCCATTGAGACTGGGTGTGGTGGTGCACACCTATAATCCTAGTGCTTGGGAGGCTGAAAACAGGAGGATCATTATGAGTCTGATCTGTGGGGCTGGTGAGATGGCTCAGTGGTCTAAAGCACCTACTTAGAACAAGCTTAGCAAAGCACAGGGACCGCAGTTCAATCCCCCAGCACCACATGCCAGCCAGCCCCGCCCCCTGGTGGGCTGAGCTGGCCACACACACACACACACACACACACACACAAATAAATAAATAAAATTTTTAAAAAAACGAGTCTGATCTGTGTAATAAGACCTTGTAGACCCTATACCAATTACATTTAAAAAAAAAAACAAATAAACCAATGTTAATCAGGGAAAATTGAAGATGTAATTAAAAACCTACCAATAAAGAAAAGCCCAGGCCCTGTTGGATTCACTGCTGAATTCTACAAGAAATTTGGAGAACACCTAACACCACTGTTTCTCAAACTCTAATGAAATTGAAAGAGAAACAATACTCCCAAATTCATTCCTGAAAGCGTTACCTGATAACCAAAACTGGAAAAGAACCCAACTAAGAAGGAGAACTATAAGCCAATCTCCCTAAACAACATAGATGTAAACATCCTCAAGATACTGGCAAACAAAATGCAGTAAATCATTGAGAAGATTATATATTATGACCAAGTGGTATTCAACTCGGGATGGGGCCAGGGAGATAGGTCAGAAGCACAGGGTCCTGAGTTCAATCCCTGGTACTGGGAAAAAAAAAAAAAAAAAAAAAAAAAAAAAAAAAAAAAAAAAAAAAAATCAGGGATGTAAGGATGGTTTATTATACACAGAACAGTAAATGTAGTATACCATATCAACAGAGGCAAAAATCACATGATCATCTCAATAGATGCAGAAAAAGCTTTTGACAAGGTCCAGCACCAGGCATGATAAAAAACCTTACAGAAAGTTGGAATAGATGGTCTCTATATATTTTTTTTTCTTTTTTTTTTTTTTGAGAGAGAGAGTCTTACTATACAGTTTGGACCAGCCCTGTGCTTACTTTTTTTTTTTTTTTTTAATTAATTTATTTATTTGTGTGTGTGTGTGTGTGTGTGTGTGTGTGTGTGTGGCCAGCTCAGCCAACCAGGGGGCGGAGCTGGCTGGCATGTGGTGCTGGGGATTGAACCGCGGTCCCTGTGCTTTGCTAAGCTTGTTCTAAGTAGGTGCTTTAGACTACTGAGCCATCTCACCAGCTCCCTGTGCTTACTTTTGTAGCCCCCAGGCTGGACTCAAACTTGCAGAGATCCTCCTGGCTCAACCTCCTGAGTGCTGGGATTACAGGTGTGCACCACCAGGTGGGCACCCACATTTGGGACTAAGACTGCACAGCATGTGAGGCTGGGGGGCTGGGGATCAAACTCAGATCCTTGTGCCTGCCAGGTAAGCACTTTTGCCTCAGAGCTATCTCTCTGGCCCTGGTCTTTATCTCAATCTGAGAAAAGCCATCTGTGGGGCTGGCCAAATAGCTCAGTGGATTAAAGTACCTGGGCCTGCGGTGCTGGCCTGCCCCCAGGTACACTGAGACAGCAACTGAGACTGTGGGTGGTGGCCCAGGCCTGTAATCCCAGCACTTGGGAGGTTGTAAACAGGAAAATGAGTCTGATCTAGTAATGAGACCCTGAACACCTTGTAGACCCTTCCCTAAAATACAGAAAAAAGAAAAAACCATTGTGACAAACCAAGAGCCAACGTCATACTAAATAGACAAAAACCGAAAGGTTTCACTCTAAAATCAAGAACAAGACAAAGGTGTTCACTGTCTCCACTCTTAGTCAATATAGTCCTGGAAACCTTAGCCAGAGCAATTAGATAAGAAAAAGAAATAAATGGAATAAGGATAGAAAAGGAAGAAGTTATCACTATTTGCAGATGACATGATACTCTACGTAGAAGACCTCAAAAACTCCACTAAAAAGACTACTAGACTTAATAAACAAATTCAGTAGCATAGCTGGATTCCAAATTAGCACTCAAAAATCAGTAGCCTTCCTGATAGGAATAGCAAACTCATTGAGAGAAAAAATAAGAGAACACCTTTCATAATAAAATCCAAAAAATACCTAGGGATCAATCTAATGAAGGATATAAAAGACCTGTTTTAGGTCTTTATATCCAAAGATTGAAAACTACAGTACTCTGAAAAAGGTTATTGAAGAGGATATCAGAAAATAGAAAGATACCTCTTACTTTTGGATGAGAAGAACCAATATAGTGAAAATGGCCATACTTCCAGAACTGTTTTACAGATTTGATGCAATTCTAATCAAAATTTCAATAGTATGTCTCACAGAATTAGTAAAAAGAATCCTAAAAATCATTTGGAACCAGAGAAAACCTAGAATAGCAAAGGCAATTCTAGGCAACAAAAGCAAGGCGGGGGCATCACAGTCCCACACTTGAAAAATTTTCCAACATGGTACTGGCAGAAGAACAAACCCAGAGATCAATGGAACAGGTTAGAAAATGAAGAAACAACTCCAGACATAATGCTCAGCCACCTTACCTTACCAAGTTGTCAAACACATTCACTGAAAGAAAGCCTCTTTAATAAATGGTGCTGGAAAACTGGCTCTGCATCTGTTGAAGATTAAAATTGGACCCATCTCATTCACCATACACTAAAATCTGAAATGGACCAAAAATCTAAATATTAAGAGAAACATTAAATCTCCTGGAAGATAGAATAGGTAAAACTCTTGAAGACATGGAGATATTGGTGTAGTCAAAGACTTTATGAATAAAACCCTGATCACACAGGAACTATCATAAAGAATTAACAGCTAGGTTCTCATTTTATTAAAAAACTGTTTGCACAGCAAAATTGTCGATGGAGTTAAGAGACAACCCACAATGTGGAAAAAAATGTTTGCCAGTTGTTCCTCAGACAAAGGATTACCATTTGAACATACAAAGAACTAAAATAATCAGACCTTCCAAATGTAGAGTCCCATTCAAAATGATCATCTGAGATACACATTTCTCAGATGAAGAAATACAAATGTATGAAAAAATGTTCAACATCTCTGGTCATTTGAAAGAGATGTAAATTAAAACAACACTGGGATTCCATCTCACACCCCAAAGAATGGCTATCATCAAGAAATCAATAACAAATGCTGGAGGGACTGTGGGGAAAAAAAGAAGCCTTCTTCACTCTTAGTGGGAGTGCAGACTGGTGAAACTATTGTAGAAATCAGTATGGAGATTCCTCAGAAAACTAGGATTAGAGGTCCCATTTGACAGGCTATTTCCCTGATGGATATCTTCCCAGAATTAAAAACATCATACTACAACGATATATAAGCACTTATGTTTATAGTAGCAAGTTTGTAATAGGTAGACCTTGGCAACAACCCAAATGCCTATGAGGAATGGATAAAATAGATGTGGTCAGGCCAGGTATGGTGGCACATGCTTGTAATTGCAGCACTCAGGAGGATAAGGCAGGAAGATTGCTGAGGCAGAAGTGCAAGACCAGCCTTGGCTACAAAGTGAGCTCAAGGCCAGTCTGAATTACATAACAAGACCCTGTCTCATACAAAAAGTAAAAAAAAAGATGTGGTCTTTTTATACAGTGGAGTATTACTCAGCCATAAAGGATTACCTGGAGGGGCTGATGAGATGGCTCAGTGGTCACCTACCTAGAACAAGCTTAGCAACGCACAGGTACCACAGTTCAATCCCCCAGTATCGGGAGAACGACAACCGCTCTGATTCCTAGTGCCGGCCTTCCTCGTGTGAGGGGATCTGCCGGACCTTTGCTAATTCAATTTCTTTCCCTTTCCGGGCCCTTCCCCATCGTCGCCCCCTTCACCTTGGATCATGTTCAAGAAATTTGATGAAAAAGAAAATGTGTCCAACTGCATCCAGTTGAAAACCTCAGTTATTAAGGGTATTAAGAATCAGTTGATAGAGCAATTTCCAGGTATTGAACCATGGCTTAATCAAATCATGCCTAAGAAAGATCCTGTCAAAATTGTCCGATGCCACGAACATATAGAAATCCTTACAGTAAATGGAGAATTACTATTTTTTAGACAAAGAGAAGGGCCTTTTTATCCAACTCTCAGGTTACTTCACAAATATCCTTTTATCCTGCCACACCAGCAGGTTGATAAAGGAGCCATCAAATTTGTACTCAGTGGAGCAAATATCATGTGCCCAGGCTTAACTTCTCCAGGAGCCAAGCTTTATCCTGCTGCAGTAGATACCATTGTTGCAATCATGGCAGAAGGTAAACAGCATGCTCTATGTGTTGGAGTCATGAAGATGTCTGCAGAAGATATTGAAAAAGTCAACAAAGGAATTGGGATTGATAATATTCATTATTTAAATGATGGGCTCTGGCACATGAAGACGTATAAATGAGCCTCAGAAGGAATGTACATGGGCAAACTATGGATATCGTGCTCTATATGTGTTTGTATTTGTGTGTGGCAGCATGAAGACAATGTCTCTGTGGTTATGCTGAATAAACTCTAGTTGCTAAAATCCAAAAAAAAAAAAAAAAATCCCCCAGTATCACATGCCAGCCAGCCCCGCCCCCTGGTGGGCTGAGCTACACACACACACACACACACACACACACACACACACACACACACAAATAAAATTTTTAAAAAAAGGATTACCTGGAGACTTTCATAGGTAAAGGGATGCTACTCTAGACCATATTTCATAAATGCAGTAATCCAGACACACATGTACAAACATCATACTGTCTCCCTAGTGTGAGAAACTGAAAGGATAAATAAGATCCAAAGCGTCCAACAGGTATTGTAAAATGGGAAGAAACTTTTCAAACAGAAAGAGAGACTAGGATAGGGCTGGCCTTATAGCTCAGCAGATTAAAGCGCCTGTTTAGGCAGACACAGGGGCCAGGAATTCAATCCCCTGGGCCTGCCGGCCCCACCCATGGGGTGCGCTAAAACAGCTATTGAGACTGAGCATGGTGGCATGCCTTTAACCCTAGTATTTGGGAGGCTATAAACTGGAGGATCACTACAAGTCTGATCTACACAATGAGACCCTGTACACTCTGTCCTAAGTAAAAAAAAAGAAAAAAAAAAAAAAGAGAGAAACTAGGATAGGCAAAAGAAGAAAAGGAAAAGGATATGTACACACACATATGATAGGTAAGATATACCAATTTTTCTTAGTTCATTGAAAAGGAAGAATTGTGCTAATATTGTTTGGACAGCTAAATGCCTATATTTTGTACTCTGAGTAGTTTAAAGATAAAAGTATACATTGTATTAACCATACCCTGCTATTATCTGTTTTGAAATTTTGGGTTTTTTTTCCCCTCTTAAAATAAATTTTAAAAAGTGTATACAGAGATATAACTATGTTTGGAAGTACAAGAGTATACCTAAGTTAAACAGTTGCCCTGAATATCAACCTGTTAATAGCAATCTTGTTATATTGTTGGTCTGAGAAACAACCCAGTAGATTTTTTTACTTGCTTGTTTTCAATAGAAACTCTCAGATTTAGTTTTTCTATTTAGTTCTCTTCTTATTTTATTGTTACTGGGGATTGAACCCAAAACCTTTGCACTAACCTATGTCCCCAGGCCTTATTTTACTCTTTTTATTAAGAGACAGGGTCTCACTAAGTCATTAAGTTGCCCAGGCTGGTCTCAAACTTGTGATCCTCCTTCCTCAGCCTCTCAGAGTAATAGGATTGCAGGCATGCACCACTATGCCAGGCTATCCTAGATAACCTTGGTTCCCAGCTCTGCCTGCTAATAGATTGTGACCTCAGGCAAATTGTTTGAGCTTTTTCTTTATCTATTAAGTAGGAATAAAAATAATGTCTTACCTTTTAGAATCAGTTTGAAGATTGAATGAATTGGCAAATGTAGATTATCAAGGATAGTTCTTTCTATATCAGAGGGAGTTGGGTATGGAGTTGGATATTACATTGTAATCCCCACACCCTGGTCTACAAAGTGAGTTCAAGGCAGGCCTGATCTACTTATACAAGCAAGACATTGTCTCAAAAAAAAAAAAAAAAGCAAAAATAGGGAGGGAAGTGGGTAACATGAAAAGACTTTAGCTGTGGTATGTATGTGTACCAGTTGCTCACAGTGAATGTAATCATTGTGTACAGCAAGCATGTACTAATAAAAATGTAAAAGAAAATCCAAGTTGTTTACTCTGGACTGGTGGTTCTCCATCTGGTGAGATTTTTGTCACCAGACAAATTTGGCAATGTATAGAGATATTTTGGGTTGTTATAACCTTTGGGGAGATATGCTTGTTATTGCATCTCATGAGTAAGAGCCATGGATATAAACATCTGGAAGCACAGTCCCTCTCCACATGTCAGCAGAGGTGCTTTGCTCTAGAAAGGGATGGACTTCCCTAAGACCTTTCTGTTACTTAGCAGAATGACTGAATGGCAGGCATGGAGGTGACCATGAAACATCCCTTCCTTAGAAGAGTATGAAAATTTTTGTAGCACTTTTTTTTCTTTGTTTAGGGTTTGTGAAACAGGATCTAACAATCAGCCATTTAATGATAATCGACAAAGGAATTGTGACTATTTTGTTGACAATCTTTTTGAGGAAGCTCAGAAGGTTGGAGCCAAATGCTTATCCCCTACTGAACAGAAGAAACAGGTAAGAGTATGTTGTTGTTTTTTTCTTCAGCATTTCTCAAAATACGGAACTCCTTTTTGTCTTTTTGAGACAGGGTCTCCCTCTGCATTTCAGGCTGGGCTTGGACTCACTTTGTAGCCCAGGCTGGCCTCAACCTCACAGTGATCTTTCTGCCTCAATCTCCTAAATGCTGGGATTACAGACATGCACCACCATGCTTGAAGTAAATGCGAATTTATAGAAGGTCCTTGAGGTCAAAACTTTCTTCTTAATACCAAGATACTTACATTTTCAGTGTTGAGCTTGAGTAGATACTGCAAAAAGCATTGTTGAGTAAAACTGCTGGCGTCCTGGCAGGAACAAGGCAGAGGCAACAAACAACCAGAAATTACTACATTCTCTGCTTGCATTTGTAAGGAGATGTGAGAGCCAGCTTGAGAGGAATGTCCTTGTTGAAGTAGTGAGACATGGTGGTTTTGTTTTCTTGGTTGGTTTGTTTGTTTGTTTGTTTTGGACATAGCAATTTTATTAAGTCCCAGACCTTAAACACATCTTCACAATATGTGTAACAAGCATAGCATTTCCACAATCCATAGAGATGTCTTCAGGGAAAGCCCAGTTGTTTGAGGTAGGAACTGAACTATCTGCTTTTTCTTGGCAGTTATTACGTGCAAATGGTGTGTATCTGACTGTGGTTTACTCAGACTTGGATATTTCAAATTCCTGACAGTACTTCAGGGGAAAAAAACTCTACAGATTTATTGCAGTTTCACTTTACCAGTGTTTTTAGTGAAAATAGAAATTTTGGAGAATTACCATCATGTACTCGACATCTCTTGAAAAGTTTCCTGGGTCGGGAGTATTGCTCAGCAGCACAGCACCTTCCTGGCAAGTGCAAGGTTCTAAGTTCAGTTCCCAGTACAGAAAGAAAGAAAGAAAGAAAGAAAGAAAGAAAGAAAGAAAGAAAGAAAGAAAGAAAGAAAGAAGGACCTTTTTGTATCTATATACAAAATAGTTAGGATAGATATAAAGTTACTTTCTCTTAATTTAGTGAAAAGAAAGATTTGTACTAATAGTGTTTGGACAGGATATCATGTCTGCATCTTTTTTTTTTTTTTTTGCAGAACCAGGGATTGAACTCAGGCCCTTGCACTTGCCAGGGAAGCACTTAATCCACTGAACCATCTCCCCGGCCCCATCATGTCTGCATCTTGTACTATGAATAATCACTACAAAGACAGTGTGCAATGTATTAATTATTGAAACTGTCCTATTCGGTTTTGAAACTGTCTCATTGCTATTTGTTTCTCAATAAAATTAATACAAAAAATTAATAAGATCAGTTTCGGGGCTGGGGAGATAGCTCAGTAGAATAAGCACTTGCCTGACAAGCGCAGGGTCCTGAGTTCAATCCCTGATACAGAAAAAAAAAGTGTCATTGCAGTGAATATAGTTTTTATTGCATAATGAAATGTACCAGTGGGGGCCAGGGAGATGGCTCAGTAGAATAAGCGTTTGCCTGGCTTACATAAGGGCCTGAGTTCAATCCCTGGTTCTGCAATAAATAAATAAATAAAATAAATGTAAAGTTCTAATGTACTTTTTCTTAATTATTGAAACTGTCCTACCAATTTGATTTGAGAAAAAAAAAAAAGAAATGTACCAATATTTGGAAACCTCACTGATGTAAGTTCATGTTTGCATGAAAAGAACTATGTGTCACATACACTAAAGTGTTTTAATGTAATAAATATATGAAAAGATCATGCATGGGTTTCCAATTTCATACTCAGATTCTTTCTTGCTTGTTTTTGTTTGTTTTCTTTTTTCCTTTTTCTTTCTTTCTTTTTTTTTTTTTTTTTTTTTTTTGGTGGAACCGGGGATTGAACTCAGGCTCTTGAGCTTGCCAGGGAAGTGCTTATTCTTTGTTTTCTTGAGAGTTTTCTCGATGTCACACAGGTTGGTCTTGAGCTCACTATGTAACCCAGGCTGACCTCAAACTCGTGTTTCCTCTTACACGAGGAAGCCTTCCCAGGGCTGGGATCTCTGGTGTGCTCTGCTATACCTGCCTCAAGCATGTTAAACTCCTGAGAATTTATGGTTGGATCCTTGGATGCCATTGGTGGAAAAGTGGTCTTTCTCCGTCTGAGAAGGCAGTCCTCCACCAAGTCATGTGCAGCTTAGGGAGGAGCACACATGGGGCAAGGGAGGAGGAAAGAAACATGCCCATAGCCAGCCATGTCAGCCCAGAAATCTGACAAGAATGGGGTCAAGATGTAGCAGCTGGGTTATCCTCTCATCCAAACTCTTTAGTCTTAGCAGTTCAGTTTCTCCCGAGAAACAAATACACTGACACCTTCTTTATTTCTCAAGTAGGGTACATGTCTTCTCGGGGAGACATTCTGTCCTTGTCCCTGAATCGTGAGTTCTGTTCTGTGTGTTTTCAGTTCCATCATCTCCCAATAGTTCCTCTCTTACATCATTTTTAGAAGCCAGTCTTGAAATAGCTTTATCAAAAAATGTGTGAAAAGACACCTGTGGAATATATGGGTTAAAATTTTGCAAGGCTTAATTTGCCCATGTTCAGGCTTTGTTGATAGCATATGATGTTGATACCTGAGCCTTTGTGGCATGTCTTCTGCCTTCAGGAGTTTTAGAATCTTCCCTTTAGCCCAGTGTTCTTATGCACCTTCATGCAAACCCTTTTCCATTTGTTCAGACAAACCAAAAATGTTCCTTCCCATTAGGGGACTCTTTTAATGTTTGTCTATCTTTGAGACCGGGCCTCACTTTGTAGTTCAGTCTGGCCTTAAACTCACTATGTACTGCAAGCTGGCCTGAAACTCCAGGCCATCCTCCTGCCTCAGCCTCCTAAGTGCTGGGATTATAGGCCTGTGCCACCAAGCACAGAAGACGACATTTTTCTTGTTGCAGTTTTGCTTTCTTTTGCCTGATGTTAGAAGTTCTCTTCTTAGATCATAGACCTCTTGGGCTGAGTATCCTAATTACTTTTCCCTATTTTCTGCCTCTTTTTTGTTTTACTTTAATTCTTCAACTTTATATTGTTATTTAATTGTTCAATTTCTAGGAGTTTTTTTTTTTTAATTTATTTATTTTAGTGTGTGTGTGTGTGTGTGTGTGTGTGTGTGTGTGTGTGGCCAGCTCAGCCCACCAGGGGGCGGGGCTGGCTGGCATGTGGTGCTGGGGGATTGAACCGTGGTCCCTGTGCTTTGCTAAGCTTTTTTTTTTTTTTTTTTTTTGGTGGAACCGGGGATTGAACTCAGGCCCTTGCACTTGCCAGGGAAGTGCTTATTCCACTGAGCCATCTCCCCGGCCCCTTAAGCTTGTTCTAATTAGGTGCTTTAGACCACTGAGCCATCTCACCAGCCCCTTCTAGGAGTTTTTGTTCCCTGAGATTTTTCTACTAATTCCCTTTCAAATACCATCTTCTCTTACCTAAACATATTATGATCATTTTGGGGAATTTGTTTTGAAGTTTCTTCTCTTTTACTTAGTGTCTTCTTTTACCTAGTACTAGAAATTGAACACAGGATATTCATGCTGAGCTATATTTCCAGCCTTTTTTTTGAACTGGATCTTGACCAGGCATGGTGGCACTTGCCTATAATCCCAGTACTTGGGAGGCTGAGGCAAGAGGTTCACTGCAAGTTCAAGGCTAACCTAAGCTACACAGTGAAACCCTGTCCCACAAAGACCAAGAAAAAAGAAGGAAAAAAAAAAACCCCGTAAGATCTTGGTGAGTTGCTCAGGCTGGGTTTGCTTTGCTCCTCCTGCCTCAGCTTCCCTTAGTGCTGCATTATACAGGTGTGAGCCATCACACTACCTCCTCTGTGTGATTTTGTTTTGTTTTTCCTCTGTATCTGTTTTCTCTGGGAGAGAATGCCAGGAACAAAACTCAGGACCTTATTATGCTTGCCAGGCAGATGCTGTACCACTGAGCTAAATCCCTAGCCCTCTTCTGTGTTTTCAATGTTGTTTTTCTGTTAACATTGTTTAAACCAAAGGCTTTTATTTTTATTTATTTATTTATTTATTTATTTATTTATTTATTTATTTATTTTGCGGAACCGCAGATTGAACTCAGGCCCTTGAGCTTGCCAGGCAAGCGCTTATTCTACTGAGCCATCTCCCCGGCCCCTTCAATGTTGTTTTTCTACATACACGGATACCATGAAAGCAGAGATCTGGCAGTGTGATCACAGGCTTGAAAAAGGATAATGTAGCTGAGTAGAATGGCACACATCTATAATCCCAGGAGGTGGAAGCAGGAAGATAGTGAGCTGGTGGCCACCTCAGCTATATAGCAAGCCTGAATTACATAATGAAACTCTGTCGCAAAAAAAAGCAGTACAAAAGATGAGATAGTGTAGTGCTGAGGAGATGGAGTCTGGGCTGGAAATGGAGCTCAGGAGTAGAGCAGGCTTAGCATGTGTGAGGCTCTAGGTTCAGCCTCCACCCCTCCACATGAGGAAAGAAAAACAATGGAGTTTGGATGCAAACTCTTTGGGTTCAAGTCCACCTGCACTCCCACCAGTTTATAGCTTTGAGTAATTTAGTTGACCTTGCTTGTTTTGTTTCTCTGCTTATCAAAGGCTAGTGATGCCTACTTTATGTGGATGGTGAGAGGCATTGGATGCAAGGCCCTTTACATGCTCCCTTCCTTCCTCTCCTCTATTCTGGTGCCCTTTGCCTTGTACCCTTGCTCTGTGGTCACTCCTGGCAGCAGGAGCCCAAACTAGTGGTGCAGCCCAGCCTTATGCTAAGCTTCCTGAACTGTGAGCCAAAATAAATCTTTTGCTTCATAAAAAAAAGAAGCATTCATAAGTTTACATCAGGAAAACACCTTCAGCACTGCCTTGCATACCTGCCTGCATGCGTGTTGTGTGTGCTGACACCACTGTGTGGCCATGCACTGGTACACCCTGGACTCTGCCCCAATGTGGTACATAAGGGCACCACTTGCCTATTACCTACCAGGGCTTCCTGAATACTTCTGTTACCTACCAGAATGTGCATCTTCACAAATAACTGTCATTGTGTAATGTTTGGGAAATAATGACATGGAAAAGATGTGTTTAGCACCAACACACCACAGATTTATTTTTCAGATTATTTTTGATCCATGCTTGGTTGAATCTATAGCTAGGGAACCTGGGGTACGGACTCCAGGTGTTGGTGCTGCTCCTGTTGTGACTTTTCCCCAGGACTTCAGTGGGCCATCTGCTAAATATTAGACACTCAGTAACATACACGTACAGATTAATGAATGTAAGAAGCAAGGTTGTTTTTGGTTTGCTGTCTTCCAGTCAGTTCTGTGTTTGGCCTGAAGCATCTCTGCATTCTGCTGAATTCCCAGAGCATTCTACGTTACTGCAGCAGTTCATCCTGTGTCTTACCAGATGGGTAAAATGCATATTGTTCTTACAAGCTGAAGACATTTAGGACTGAGATACTGATGAACCTGGTGTTGGTATTTATATTTACAGGAATAGCCATTGATTAGTCATAATTTCTTCTGTTGTATATCTGATTTCATGTTCTATTTTATTATGTTGGGGATTGAACTGAGGGAATATTTTACATTTGAAGTTAACTGTTCAGAATCCATGAGTTCATAAAATGGCAGCCAGTGCTGGGAGTACATACCTGTAATCCCAGTACTCAGGAGGCTGAGACAGGAAGATTGCTGCAAGTTTGAGACCATTCTGGGCTACAAGGTGAGTTCAGGGACAGCCTGAACTGCATAATGAATGAAACACTGTCTCAAAAAGCCAAAAAAAAAAAAAAAAAAGAATCTGTAAAGTATATAATAATAGAAATTTTCAAAGTTGTATTTTTGGGTTCTTTTGAGACAGAGTCTCACTATCTAGTTCACATTGGCCTTGAACTGACTATGTGGCCCAGGCTGACCTTGAACTCATAGTGATCTGTCCTGCCTCAACCTCCTGAGTGCTAGGATGACAGGCCTGCACCTCCATACCTCAGAATTTTTTTTTTTTTTTTTCCTTTATGAGATAGGGTCTTGCTGTGTAGTTCAGACTAGCTTTGAACCTACTGCATAGCCCAGGCTGGCCTAAAGCTCATGGTCATCCTCCTTCCTCAGCCTCCCAGTGCTGGGATTATAGACATGTACCAGGATACCTGGCTTAAAGGTTACAGAACTTGGCACAGGCACATGAGCACGTGTTTCCCTGGTATTGAACCCAAGAAATTTGGAGTGAGCTACATCCCTATACTGGGCTAGAACTTGAGACCCTTCTACCTCAGCATTCAGAGTGCCAGAATTACAGGTGTACACCATCATGCCTGTCTTTAAAGGATTCATCTACTACTATTATGTTTTATTAAAATATACAATTTTTTCTTACTACTTTGCAGGTAGATGTAAATATAAAATTGTGGAAAAATGGATTTACAGTCAATGATGATTTCAGAAGTTATTCTGATGGTGCGAGTCAGCAATTTCTAAACTCCATCAAAAAGGGGTAAGCAGTCTTAGTGGGTAGGATATTTTAGGCATGTTTTAATGTCCTTTGTTTTGATTCTTTGTAATGTTAATCACATACACCTACACATTTATGCAAATACTTTTTCATTTATAAATTCATATCTCCTGTGGGAGGCCGGGTAGTGCTGGAAATTTAACCTAGGCCTTCTTACTAAGCTGTGTCCCCAGCCAGCCTTTTTATATTTTGAGATTACTCCTCACTAAATTGTGAAATTGCCCAGGCTGGGCTCAGATTTGTAATCTTCAGAATGCTGGGGTCACAGGTTCAGATGAGTTTTCTTAAGGGACCTACTATTTTTTGGGGGAGGGTAGGGATAAAACAAATTCTCATTGTGTAGCTCAGGCTGGCCCCAAACTCAAATCAATCCTCCTGCCTCAGCCTCCGGAGTGCTGGGATTACAGGTGTGTAGTTCATACCCAGCCTCCTACAATTGTTAATTGAAAGAAGTTTAGGAATTTGACTTCCATTTAACAAAAATCTTAAACAAAATCACTTTGCCTACTTTAATACTGTATCTTCTCTATTAAATTTATGCTTAAATGTTTTTAGTATCATTAACACTGTAAAATTTATAATTATGATTCAAAGTATTTTACATAATTTATTCAAAATGGGGTTTTTTGAGGTTTTTTGCTTGTTTGTGGTTTTTTCTTTTTCTTTTTTCTTTCTTTCTTTTTTTTTTTTTTTTTTTTTTTTTTTGGTATGGCAGTGGAGATTGAAACCTTTTTTACTTTTTATTTTTGAGACAGGGTCTTACTGTGTCGCCCAGGCTCACCTCTATCTCACTATAGTCTTCCTACAAGTCTTCCTTGGGCTTGACACCGCTCTCAACCTGATTTGTAATTTTATTTTGAGACAGTGTCTTTGGTAGGAAGAAATGTAAAAACATTTCTAAAAAATCTTTTTGTTATCTTACTATTGTCATTTCCAAAGTCTTTATTTTCCTAGCCAATTTTTAGTTCAAAGTGGCCACCTATAAAAATGATCAAACTGAGTCTGGGCATCGTGGTACATTCCTGTAATCCCAGCACTTTTGAGGCTCAGGCCAGAGGATTACTATAGGTTGGATGCCACCATGAACTACACAGTGAATTCAAGGCGAGCATGAAATACATAGCCAGCCCCTATCTCAGCCATCCCCCAGAAAGATCAAATTGTTTAAATTCAGCAGCATATAGTCATCTAATATTCTATTATTTTGGCACTATTTTATTGTTAGTTTTTTGTTGTTGTTAATTTTTTTTTTTTTGGTATTGGGGATCAAACTGAGAAATGTGCTTGCCAAGCAGGCACTTATGCCGCTGAACTATCTCCCCAGCCCCTTTGGTATTTCAGATACTCATAATTCATGAATTTATGACCTTAAAAATGATATTTTATCTTTGAGTTTTTTTGTACTGTTCATATTATTTGGCTATATTATTTTAATTACCTTTAGTTATTTCACTGTAGAGAGTATTATATGCTTTATTTGTATGTATTTTCACATATTTTCCAATTCTTTTTACATACTCAATGTCTTTTTAAGACAGAAAAAATATTGAGAGCTTTATTATCTTGTTTCTCTTCCTTCCAAGGGAGTTACCTTCAGAATTACAGGGAATTTTTGATAAAGAGGAGGTGGATGTTAAAGTTGAAGATAAGAAAAATGAAGTTTGTGTGCCCACAAAGTCTGCATTCCAGCCGTTCTCAGGGCAGGGGCACAGACTGGGAAGGTGAGGATTTCATCTGCTTTTCATAAGCAGAGACCTGACTGATAATTCAACCATTGTCTTTTTTTTTTTAAGTTTGTTTTTGCTTTTGAGGTGGGGTCTCACTGTGTAGTCCAGGCTGATCATGAACATGCAGATCTTCCTGCCTCAACTTCCTGAGTGCTGGGTCAGGGAGATGGCTCAGTAGACTAAGCACTTCCTTGGCAAGCACATGGGCCTGAGTTCAATCCCCAGTTTCACACACACACACACAAAAAACTTTCCTGATTGCTGAGATGCACCACCACACCCAGCACAAATGAGATTTCTTAATGTTATTTTTTATGAGGATTCAAGTCATATTTACCTTATGCCACTAGTAATTATGGAAGCTTTTTTTTTTTAATCAGATAGAAAGACCTGGCCTATCAATATCGAAGGTTTATATTGGTTTTTTGAGATGGAGACTCACTGTGGAGTTCAGGTTGCTCTTGAATTTACTGTGTAGCCCATGCTGGCCTCGAACTGTGGTGATCCTGCTGCCTTGGGCCCCCAAGTGATGGGATTGCAACTATGTGCCACCATCCCAGCTCAAAACTTTTAGTTTCATGTTTTTCCATCTTTTTCATACCTAACAATGCCTTATGCCAGAATTTGGAGATACAGGATTATTTTGCTTTTTATAAATTCTCATATTTTAGTTATCAAAGTTTGAAAGGTGTGGATGTATGCATCCATATATCCAAAAATATTGGCATGTGGCTTTCAAAATATTTGGTTTCCTTTCTTTATAACCCAACAGATAATGTCTATATAGAGAGCTTGTAGTTTATTTTAGAAATTTTTCTTGGGCATTAAGTAAAGCTAAAAATATATAGATCTTTCAATCATTATAACAAGTATTCTGTAAAGCACTATTCAAATAACACTAGAAGCAATTTATTCTAAGCTTATAAGGTATTCAATATGCATAATTTTGTTAGATACTTACAGACATTATATATTAACATAACAAATATATTTGTGTTATTATTGAGGAAACAGTTGTGATGTATAAAAATCTTAAAAGCTGTATTTAATATACAATTTTTATAATAATGGTAAAAATATGTCTGGCTTATTGTTTGGATTTTCTAGTGCAACACCAAAAATTGTTTCTAAAACAAAGACTATTGAAGTTGAAAGTAAAAATAATCTGTCTACTGTTTCACTGAATAACTTGGAGCCCATCACTAATATACAGATATGGCTAGCCAATGGGAAAAGGATCATCCAGAAATTTAATGTTTCTCATAGGTAAGTCCTCCGCTTTAGTATTTTCTTATACTTTTCAAAGTTTCATATTGTTTTTTTCTCTTAAGAATGAATGAAGGGGGCCGGGGAGATGGCTCAGTGGAATAAGCGCTTCCCTGGCAAGTGCAAGGGTCTGAGTTCAATTCCTTGTTCCGAAAAAAAAAAAAAAAGAATGAATGAAGGGGCCAGCCAAATAGCTCAGCAGATTAAAGTGCCTATTTAGGGAGACGCAGCGGCAGGGGTTCCATCCCTGGCATGCTGTGCCATTTCCACCCCTGGTGCACACTGAGGTCATTGAGACTGGGCGTGGTAGCACACACCTGTAATCCCAGCTCCTGGAAGGCTGAACACAGCTGGATCTCTGAGTCCAGTCTATGCAGTGAGACCCTGTACTAAAATACAAAAAAAAAGAATGAAGGAGCTGGGGATGGTGATGCACACCTATAATCCAAGCATTTAGAAAGGTGAGGCAGGAAGATTTTCATGTGTTCAAGCCCGGCCTGAACTACATAGCAAGACTTTCAAAAAACAAACAAACAAACAAAAAGACTATATTATTATTATTATTATTATTATTATTATTATTGTCTTTTTGAGACAGGGTCTCACTATGTAATTCAAACTGGCCTTGAACTCACTGTGTAGCCCAGGCTGGCCTTAAACTTGTGATGATCCTCCTGCCTCAGCCTCTTAAATTCTGGGATTATAGGCACGCACCAGTACACCCAGCCAAAAAACACTAAATATGTATCAGTCTAATAATACTGGGGATATTTCTTGAGCAGTAGAATTAAATACTCCAATTTGTTCAGTAGCTATCTTTATATTGTGTTAGTGCACTTAACAGAGAAATAGACACAGATGCTTTTTTGTTGTCTTTTTTAGACAGTCTTTCTGGGTGTGATGATGCACACCTGTATAATTGCAGCACTCAGGAGGCTGAAGCAGGAGGATTCTTGGGAGTTCAAGACCAGTCTGAACTACATGGTTAGACTGTGTCAGGAAAAAAAAAAAGGTATCTCAGCTCGGAACATCTTGCTTCAGCCTTCTGAAGTACCTAGCAGTTCATGATGACCTTGAACTTCTTATGTAGCACAGCCTGGCCTCAAATCACAGTGAGCCTCCTGCCTCAGCTTCTAGAGTGGTGCCAACACATGCACCACTTGTCCAGCTAGTAGTGAGCACTTTTAAAAGAGATTTTGGGGGCCGGGGAGATGGCTCAGTAGAATAAGCACTTGCCTGGCAAGTGCAAGGGCCTGAGTTCAATCCCTGATTCCGCCAAAAAAAAATAATAAAAATAAATAAAAGAGATTTTGTGTCAGGCTAGGAGAGTAGCTCAGTACTACAGTAGTTGGCTAACATGTGCAAGGCTTAGACTTGATCCCCAGTGTTGCAAGAAAGAAAAAAGGAATTTCACATCAGCAGTCCACATGATGGGGGGCATTATGTGGAGAAGCCAAGTATTTTGATGACTGAACCAAAAACAACTCGGGGGATCAGAGTGTGACTGATGCACAGGTTTAGGGAGCAGTCAGTGTGTATTTCCTCCTTCATGGGAGTGCATGCGTGACCTAATAAATGTTTGTAAAATTACATCTAAAAGTGTTTTCTCAAAAATATTAAGTAGAACCAGACACCTGGATAGAGTGGCATACACCTGTACTCCCAGCACTCAGGAGGTTGAGGCAAGAGGATCAATATGAGTTCTAGGCCAGGCTGAACTGCATCGGAAGACCCTGTCTCAAAAAGACAAAATAATCTACAAACTCTTTAAGTGTTGAGAAAATGCACTGTCACAGTCTAATTTTTTTGTTTGTTTCTGTCTTTTGAGACTGGTTCTTGCTCTGTAGTCAAGATTGGCCTTGATAACCTACATTAGCCTTGAATTTACAGCAGTCCTGCCTCAGCCTCCCAAGTGCTGGGATTATAGACATGTACCACAACACCCAACTAAATTTCTAAACATTTTAGTACTACATAAAATAATGATGTGTCTTAAAATTAATGGCAGCCTAGTTTTGAGCAACTGTGTCCTGTCTCTTTAAATATAGTAAACATTAAAGTGAACATAATGTTGAGCTACATCCTAGCCCTGTATTCCCCATACTAACTGAAATTCTACTTGCACTGTATTAACAATTTTCCTAGGGGCTGGGAAAATAGCTCAGTAGAATAGGACCTGAGTTCAATACCTGGTTCAGCTAAAATACAAATTAAAAAATTAAAAATTAAAACATTTTCCTAATTGGAGTTGAAGCACAGCATAATGTGCTATTTAAGAAATATATCCTGTGTCTTTGTAGGATCATCATTTTGACCATTTATGTTCCGTTCAGAGATAGATACTTAAATGCTTTATTTAGGGGTAGATACATAATTGTTTTATTGTAGCAAATCTCAAATTGGGCATGGTGGCTCACACCTGTAATCCCAGCACTGGGGAGGCTGAGGCAAGAGGATTACAAATTCCAGCCCAGCCCAAGTACCACAGCAATTTAATAAGACCTTTTTTTTTTTTCAAAAATCAAAAAAGTAAAAAAGAAGTTAGAAATGTATCTGAGTCAGTCAAAAGGCCCTGGGTTCAATCCATAGGAAGCCCCTCCCCCCATAAAAAGGGTGTCCAAAATGATGGATTAAAGCCATATGTAGTGGTACATACCTGTTGCTAGCACTAAGGTGGCTGAGGCAGAAGGAGCACTGGGAGCTGGGAGTTCAAGGCCAGCCTGGGCTACATAACAAGACCATGTCTCAAGAGAAAAGAAAAGAAAACAAAACAAATGCTAAGTTAACCTATATAGTAACTTGATTGCTTTGTGTGTTTTACCACATCCAGATACCTTTACAGCTTATATATGTGGCGCTGAAGTAAGCACTACTTCACAAGTAGTTCTTAGCTTAAATTAGCTAACTCAGGTTTCACAAAATTATATGAGAAGTTTATGCTATTTTACAGGGTAAGTCATATCAAAGACTTCATTGAGAAACACCACGGGGCTGAGAGCGCCTCGCCCTTCTCCCTGGCAACAGCGCTGCCCTTCCTCAGATCGCTGGATGAGACGCTTACTCTGGAAGAAGCAGATTTGCGGAACTCCGTCATCATTCAGAGACTCAGATGCACCGCCGAGCCTTTTCGAGAACATTTGTAGTGCTGGTTCTGAGAGACTGGAAGCTGCACAAGTGTGGTGACTGGGAATAGATGGCAGAAGTAGGAGAAAGGAGAAGTCAGGTGTGCTGGACTTTCGTTCTAGTGATATTTATTTTTTTTCCAATGAGGAAATTTTTAATAATTACAAGTTAGGAAAGTCACGGATGACTGGAAGCTATATTTGTTACTTTTTTCCTAAAGGCTACTCAGAAAGAAAAATATACTTATTTTCAAAATACCAATTATTCAATATAAAATAAATGTCTTTTAGAATCAATATGGATGAGGCATGGTGGCACAGGCCTGTAATCCCAGCACTCAGGGGGCTGAGGCAGGAGGATCACTGTGAGTTCAAGGCCATCCTTGGCTGCATAGTGAGTTCAGGGATAGCTACATAGTGACACCCTGTCTCAAACAAAAGATGGTATAAATTAATAAAAATGTTCACAGCATTAGTTACTCAAATATTTCCAAATAGTAGATACTTAAATGATAGCTATCTCAGAATTTTTACATAGGAATACATTAAAAATGATACATAGCAGATGAAAGCATCAATGTAGTTATTCTGTGCCTCAAAATAATCAGAAGCCTGGCATGAGCTGGGTATGGTGGTGCATACCCGTATTGTGAGTTCAAGGCCATCGTGGGGTACATAGCAAGGCCCTATCTCAAAACAAGACCAAAAAAAAAAAAAAAAGCCAACCTCTAGGATGACCTGTTAGCTGTGTCTGAACCTTAGAGCATTCTTAGCTTTCACTCTGCTGGGAAGATATGTTCAAATATTTATTGCCATCAGTTTGTAAATTGTATTTTTACTTAGTAAAATTGTGCAGTTTAAGAGACTCTCAGTATTAATCTGCCTACTCACCTTTCTGTACTTCCTAAAACCTGAATTCTTTCTGGAAATCCCAATTCAGTGTTTCCCTCAGCATCTGAAAATTAGACTTGATTTTAGTTAATGCTTGGAATTAGCCTTTTGTTTGCTTCCACTCACTTGGAATCTGAGAATTAAATTTTGTGTTCACTAAAGGATTATATGTTCTGATGTATCCAAGGAAAGTGTGCTTTGTACATTAGATTTTTAACAAAATCAGTCAGACTTAAGTATTTCAGTTAGACTAAATCTCTGTTCACCAAACTGTACAGTGACTTCAGGGCAAGCCTGAACCTCATAGCAAAACTGCGTCTTAAAAAAAAACAAACAAACAACTTCAGGAGCTATTTTGTAAATGGTCATTCAGTCATATTAAAAATAAAGTATACATGGAGTCTATCAAGGATTACATGGCATGAAACACAGTAATGTTCATAGAGTATTGAATGTGTGTTGGAAAAGTGTTTTAGTGGGTAACATAAATATTATATGCAAAATTCAAAGTTCTAAACTATGTATTTGTGTAAGAATAGTAATTTCCAAGCCAGGCATGGTGGCATGTGCTACCCAGGGAGGCTGAAGATCACCTGAATCTGGAAATTCAGGCTAGCTTGGGCAACACAGAAGGACCTCATCTCATAATACAGTGGTACCTTAGTTCATGAACTTAGTTCTCCATGATTCTGGTCACAAACTAAACTGGGCAAGAACCAACTTGAATTTCCCCATAAGGTTAACATTGAACCTAACTATTGAATTTGATTTGGTTCTCATCCAACTCTGTTTGCAAACAAAATTGTGGAAAGAGAGTTTTGAATCAAGGAAACACTGTACTTCCAGGACAAAAGACCCAGTAGGAAAAGTGGCATTGCATTTCTTTTTCTATAGATATTTTTACTTAGAATATAGATGGGATTTTATTTGCTTCTGCATTCACTATGTGGCACTATCACGTGTCACATAGCCCCTAGAAGATACTATTACACTATATTTAAGAAAGAATGAAAAAAAAGGGATAGTGTTAACACTTAGTATCCCTCCAGAAAGGGTTTTGACCTCCCAGACCCCTGCCTGAGTCTCAGGCCCTGCAGTGAGTCTCAGGGTCCCAGCACATAGAGCAGGGAATGCTTTACAGTATGAGGAAGCCAAGTGTGAGAATCACTTGGCCAACTTCAAGGATACCTCTTCCTCCACCTGCCCCCAACGTTCCAATCTGCTGTTATCTGGAATGGGTCCCAGAACACTGCATTTGAAACGTTGATTGATTCTCAGGGATGTATACAAGGACTGTCACTCCTTGGGAGAGTCTGCCCTGAGCTGCCACCCCGAGAGAGAAAGCCTGTGTGACTGGCCTGGTTAGTGGAAGACGCCGCAAAAGTGGCACTGCTACCTCTAAGTCTTCGCCTTGTCACCACAGTCTCCCTTAGGCAGTCCCCCCTTAGCCTGCACTAACCCTGACATAACCTATGCTTTGTCCATAGCACAGATGAGGTCAGAGTGTGATATTTGAGTGAGATTTTTACTGCAGGCTTAGGAATCACAAAAGGGGACTCAGTATGTAAGTAGGTGACACCCCTCGCCCCAGCTGCTTTAAAGGTGCTTCTTTTCCTCCCAGCCATCTTCATGGCAGATTGGGAAGAATGGAAGGACAGAGTGAGCCTTTCCTTCCATCCTTTACCTAGGAAATGATGTAACTGTCAGTTACATAGCAGTGTCAGAGACCTCTACTGAAGCAGAAATAATGATATTCTTTTAAAAAAAATTAGGTGATAAAAATCTGTGAGCTTCTTTCAGACACAGAAAATAGCTTATGACAGTATATATTCAGGAATCTATGAAAATGTTTCATCTACACCTATTACGAAGCATTTTGATTTTCATAATTATAATCAGTGTATGGTTCTCCCTATATTTCTCTAGGCCTGTCTTATGAATGTTTCTGATATACTGACAGAAAAGCCCTCTTTGTTGCCAGATGTGATGGTACAAGTCTCGAATCCCAGCACTCAGGAGGGTGAGGCAGGAGGATTCCTGTGAGCTTGAGGCCAGCCTGGGCTGCACAGTGAGACCCTGTCTCAAAGAGAAACTAACAAAAACCACCTGTACAGAATTTCCCAGTTCCCAGTGAGCCAGAAGACATGATGGAGGTTCCTTGTTTTTGTTTTTGTTTTGTTTGGGGTGTGTGTGTGTGTGTGTGTGTGTGTGTGTGTGTGTGTGTGGTTGAGACAGGGTCTTGTTGTATAGTTCAGGCTGCCCCTAACCTAACTATTTACCCCGGGCTGGCCTCAAACGTGCGGCAGTCCCCTACTGCAGCCTCCTGAGTGCTGGGATTACAGCCCCACCTCACCCAGCTGATGAATGTTACTTGTGCATACATGTAAAGTAATCCATCCCAGGGGGCCAGGGAGATGGGTCAGTGGAGTAAGTGCTTCTCTGGCAAGCGCAAGGGCCTGAGTTCAATCCCTGGTTCTGCCAAAATAAATAAAATAAAGACTGAGCTGAAAATAATCCATCCCAGTGAGGGGGCCCCACAGGGAAAGACCTGTCATCAGCAATAACCATCTTTTTAACTGTGAAAACTTTTGTTATGAATAGTACTCTTAAAGGTTTGCTAAAATGATAATCATTTATCTGAGAAAGCTGTTTATTTGAGGCTGGGTGTGGTGGTGCACACTTGTAATCTCAGCACTTGGGAGGCTGAGGCAGGAGTATCACCATGAGTTCGAGGCCTGCCTAGACTACATGGCACGACTTGTGTCTAAAAAGAAAAAGCTGTTTAGTTGGAAGTTTATTTTTATTTTGTGGAACTGGGGATTGAACTCAGGCCTTGTGCTTGCCAGGGAAGCGCTTATTCCACTGAGCCATCTCCCCAGCCCTAGTTGGAAGTATAAAGGTAGAAAGTTGTTGATTAAAAATGTAAAATACACAGTACATGCTGACTTTGGCAAACATGAAATGAATTTGCCAAGGGAAAGAAAACTTGAAAATAAGCAAACATTTCAGATGTGTAATACAATTTGACCTAGCAGTTGTTTCAAAACTCATCAGTTCAGAGTAATTAGGGCAGATAGTACATTTCTAATTTTATAAATTCTGATTTACTGGTTAAATTACTCATTATCAAAGTTAAGAATAATCTTCATGTTTTTCTCGCTCAGTATACTTTTCATGATGTTTCAGTGTATCGATGTGGCATAATATATCCATTTATTTCAGTGCCTTTTGAATGCAATAGTTGGCTAATGATTGAAGAACTGCTTTCTTAGGGATGAAATATGTTTCATTAAAAGGACTGTGAAATAATTTACATTTATTAAATAGTTACTTGTAGAAATATTTGTAATTTTTATTTGGCTTAGTGTGAAAATCAACAAATGTTTACTAGGTGCTTTTGTACCTTCATTTAATATTAAGAACGTAAAAATATGATATTTTTAGCGCCAGCTTCTATGGTTGTGCTTATATTTTAAATCATCCTTTGTTTTGTGTCCTGAGTTGAACTAGTATGAAGATTTGTCAGTGAAGTTTATGCCTTTGTTCTGACTTCCAGCGTACAAACCATGTATGTAAAAAAAAAAAAAAAAAATGTTCATCACACTAAATCCTCAAATAGAAGTGGCTTACACTAAGATTTATCTCTTTGTCTTTGTTTTAAAGGTGGTGGGGTTTTTGTGGGGCCTTTTTTGTTTTTCAAAAAATTATAATAGAAATGTATGTGGTGCAGCCATGCTGACATGCTCTTTATTTTTTTTTAATTTTTATTTTTTTAGTAATAACTTTATTGATATATAATTCACCCTTTAAGTCATATAAGTGAAAGGTTTTTAGTGTGTTCACTTACATAATTATCACTATAATTTCCATTAAACCCAAATGAAATTCTGCACCTATTCACAATAGTCCATTTAAGGGTTCATGCAATTCATAATCTTCTTTCACTTAGCAATGGTCCCAAGGTTCATCATGTAGTATGTATCAGTACTTTTTATAAGAAACAGTAGTCCATTGTATGAACATACATCGTTTTATCTAGTCAGCAGGTAGTGGACATTAGGGTTGTTCCCAGTATTTGGCTATTGTAAATGATTCCATTTGGCTATTGTAAATGATTCCATTCTTGATATTAGTATACATATTTTGGTGTTGACCAAAACCTTAAAATTTAACCCATAAAGCAAAAAGTCAAAACAGAAGAACTCTTATAGTTAAAATGAAACTATACAAATTTGTATTCCAAAAATTGTGCATGTTTCAAAATTCAACCGTTTTAATACACAACATCACAAAACCGTTTCATGATTGGAAACTGGATCATTATATTATCACAGAATGAAGAAATCCTTAAAGGCTAGACATTCTCTAAGATCCCTTCTTACATGA